AGCCCGTCCCGGGGCGCTGGCCCCCGAAGCCTGGTGTCGCGCGCAGCCCCGGCGCCCCACCGAGCCCGCCCTCCCACGGGAGCCTCCTCCACGCAGGCCCGGTACCCTCCACGCTGCTACTTGTGGATTCGCTCGATTTTACACCGCGGAAGAGAAAAACCCTGCAGTTCTGTCTCCGGTGGCGGGTGGTTATATTCGCTCCTAGCAGAATGGTGAAGACCGAATCCCACAGGACGCCTGTTGGCCGCACCCGGCGTGTCAGTGTGTGTCCTCGCCAGTCTGCGCGGTGCCCACGGCTCTGAGCGAGGGTCTGTACACCGGCGCTGCTCCTTCAGTAGGAACCTGGATGAAGATAAGGGAGAGATTCCGGATAAAGATGAGAAGACTTCTACGTGCCTATCATAGAAGCGGCAACAAAATTTTAGAGATGTGTGTCTGACAACTTGCGATCTTGAAAGGAGTGTGGGAAGAAAAGAAAAAGCCTTGGATAGAGCCCAAATCTTGGACCAGACCCAAATTACAGGATTCGACTTCCTGCCCACCTGATGGGGCTTGTTTTGTTTCCTCTTCTTCAGTCCTAAGCTATATCCTGGGATAAGGATACGTCCATGTCATTGCTGGGGCTCAGATTGCCTCCAAAATGTCACCCTCTGCAACGTTTCCAGTGTTTTATAGTTTGAGTTTTCAAAACAGTCAAACATCTGATGATTTTAACTTTTTCTATAAATACTTTGATCATCCTGGAAGTCTGTGCCTGAACATAATATTTTGATCTCCAACTGGAAGACCAACTCTGCCTCCCCTTTCTCTAATCCTGAAGAAAAGTCCCAGAACAGCCAGTTGGTAATTTGCACATTTCCCAAGTATGCATTTTTTACATTGGGTGTTTCTTCCATAAACTATTTAATAATGAACTTATGTTGTCATTTCCTAGCACACAGAGACAACACAATTGTAAAATTATCCCTGCCTCTTGGAGCTGATGACATTGGATTTTGTAAACTCCAAAATTACAGAATTCAAGAGAATGAGTTTTAACACTTCTTACATTTGCTGACATTTAATGTAACCCTGTTTTCTAACATGAAAATCGAACCTAATTTTTCTTGTCATTAACCCTCACAATCTGCTTCCTACCCTGTGAACCCTGAGCTTACCATGGGTAACATTCAAGACCTGAGAGCAAGATCAGGGCTCCTCCATTGTGAATACTGCCTGAACTCTGTCTCCCTTTTACACTGCTGCTTGAGGCTTTATCTGCTCTCATCTTTCTCTTCCGAGTCACAATTAACCCCTGAGCTTCGATAATACCTAATTTTAAAGAACCTGGAAATTGAGGACCCCTCAGTCTGCCTAGTGGCTCTTGATCTTGGCTGCCCCAGTGCTTCAGTGATTTGGACTTGTGTTCAGGCCTTAATCTTTTTTTTTCGTAAGGTACTTATCCTGTAATCTGTAAAATGCCCTTCATTGTAAGATTCCAACAGTAGTAGGCCTAATTCTAATATATAATGCCAACACCAGCACACTTTGTGTGTCGGCTTGCCCCTGGGCTATAGACCCTGATGTTGTGCTCCTTTTCATAGCTTTTTAGATCTGCTAGTTTTTCAAGCAGTCAGTTACTAAACGGTGCATACGATTCATGCTCAGCAGGTCACTGTCATCTTTGTATGTTGCTGTACAGGTGCTTACACCTTACTGTAGGTTGCTCAACTCTGGTTGGTGTTAAGGTTACCAGGGGAGGGCCCACTTATAAGTCCTAGACCTGCCTTTGCTTACATTTTTAAAGTGCATTTTGTTGTTGACCATGGTTAACAGCTATCTTCATGGCATTGAATGTGGGTTTGTTTTTGTTCTTTGCCATTATTTCTCTTTCTTTGCCAAAGTTCATTTGACATGAAAAGTATTTAGCTGGAAGTCTCAAGCTATAGCAGTTCTTGACCTTATCAGCGTGTGAAAATCAATGTGATACGCATATAGTTTTTCTAATAAACTCAGTATTTTAGTGCCAACAAGAGCCTGTCCGTTTTCAGATGCATAGCTGTGATTCAATGGGTTACCTTTCACGGCCTTTAGCGATAGCGCGACGTGGGCGGGAAGGGAGGACAGTGTCGTCCCCACTTGAGGAAGTTCAGTATGCAGGTGCTGGATGTGGAAAGCCAGCCACACTATATATCTTCTCTCCATGATGTTGTATGAGGCCTGACTTTATGTCCTCTCTGTTTCCATGAAAAGACCCTTTGAATAAGGAATTTTCCAGTTTGTCTTTAAAATGATCCAGTTAATTTAGTTTGGCCTCACTCTAGCTTTTCTAACCTTGAGCAAAAGTCCATTTTTCATTTCACCTCTTAGGGAAGGGAAAAAAAGCTTTTTTGTGCATTTTCTTTAATCGTTCTTGGTAACGCTTTTTTTTTTTTCTTTTCTGTTTTCAGCGCAGAGCTACTTGTGCATTGTATTTTATCTGACCTCAAATAAGGCTTTCTGGTTTTTTAACTGTTATTGTGAAAGTTTCCTTTGTCAATCAACTTCATCTTTCCTCCCACAAAAATTACATAGAGTACTTCAGTGTTACCCTCACCTCTGTGAAGGGATTAGTAATGTCACTGAAGTGTCCTGTGGTATTACTATACTCAGCTTACAATGCTGAAGGTAAAAGTTAAGCAAATGACCAGTCAGATCAACTTTTAAGTATTTGACTATCTGGGCAGGGCATTTTCAGGATATTTAATGTATAATTTAAATTTCCTGCAAAGACCTTTCCTACAGGGCTTGCTGCTTGTCCTTAAAGTATTTAAAGAATTTTACTTTACCATACCATACAGTGTGTAAGATTGTCCTCTTCAAAGTCAAAATGAGCATTTAAACTTGAACACCAAAAAAATTCTAAGAATTTAATACAATATTTTCAGCATTTGGGCTGGGGATTTAGCTCAGTGGCACAACACCTGCCTGGCAAGCGTGAAGTCCTGAGTTTGATTCTCCGTACCCCCCCCAAATTACTTTTAAATTACAGTAATTCTAAGTAGTGAAGATCTTAAAATCATACACATTTTGTACCAGTGGACAAGCCGCCTTTGAGAAAGGCTGTGAGTGTTGAAAGCTGTCACATGGCCAGCTACTTTAAGAAGCTTTCCTACTTTTGCACTTCTAAGAACTTCCACACAGTTATATTGCCCAATAAAAAAGAGTTTTTAATGTCCCTATATTATTACTTGTGCCTAAGTTGTAGTACAGCTGGTTTCCTGACTGACTAGTCCAATTGTAGGGTTTTGTGGTCGCTGGTGTTCTCTGCAGTCTGTCTTCCTCTGCATCTTGCTCTATCTGAATCGTATAACCACTGAACCTAGCCCTCTGGCTTTATGTCAGTCTTACCTCGTTTTCATGTTATCAGTCTTACTAACTTTTCAAAAACTCATTTTGGAAATATTTTTTAACTAGGAAATATTTTCTGTGCCTCACCAAATGACAGCTATAATTTATGAATCACGTCTAATTAAGTGTAGCATACTTCCTGCAGTTTCAACCCCGGTGTGTTTACAAACAGAAGGAGGAGGCTACAAGACACCCCTTTATTTCTTGCTGCCCTTCCAGTCTGCCCCTGGATTACTGCAGATTTTCTCCTGGAAGGTTGCTTCTCCACGTGATTTCACATTACAGGAGGGTTTTCCTTCTTTGTTTCTCAGACCTGGTCCTGTAGACGGAAGGAACCTGGACAGTGACACATGCTCAAAGCCCTGCAGGACCGCCATGGCTTATGATGACTCCCAGAAGAAAGAAGGTATGACCCCTTAACCTGAGAAGCCTTTCACAGCGGGTGTCCTCATCAGGCCTTGCAGCCGTGGAATAGAGACCGGCACTGGGCACCACAGCCTGCACACCACGGGCCAGGCCAGAGCAGTGCTGACACTCAGCCTCCACGTCCTCCCCAAACTAGGCCCATGGAAACGAAAACCAGGACAGGGTTCCAACACGAGCCTCTCAGGGTCTCGGGCGAGCCCCTGCAGCACCCTTGCCTGAGCCAGCTCCCTGTGCAGGAGTCCGGGGCAGGAACACACCTGGATTCCCACAGAGCAGCGACCGCAGCGCACGACCCCTGCTCTTTCTGCCTTTCCTCTGCAAGCCTGTGTCCACTCACCAGAGCACACTGAGAGCCGCATCTGAGGACGCACACGGGGCCTTTCATAGCATGGAAGCGTGGTTTCTTCAGGTTTGACTCTTCTATTTGCAGCCAGGTCGTCAAGAAATACTCTGGTCCCTCTGGATCTAGCCCAGTGTCTCAGTGAACTGAGTGAAATATAATTTTAATCTGGAAATAGAGGGACCATTGGTTGCTGCTTACCTTTCTCATTTCCTTTCCCACATGAACTTGTGTTCCTCAGATTGCTTTGACGGTGATCACAGCTTTGAGGACATAGGACTTGCAGCTGGCCGAAGTCAACGAGAAAAGAGACGTTCTTACAAAGATTTCTTAAGGGAAGAGGAAGAGATCGCTGCTCAGGTCAGGAATTCTTCCAAGAAGAAGTTAAAGGTAAGTTCTAAACATTTGAATTAGGACGGTTTTAAACTCACCACATTTGCTCATATATGAAGAGGAAGTGTCTTTGTAAAACCTTTAAAAAGGAAATAAATGCTGCTCGTGTCCACATTTACCATTTCCTGTATCTGACTTTGTTTTATAAAGTCAAAACCCATCCAAGAACAACAGTGGTTCCACATTGCTTTTGCCTTACCTATGTCTTCCCTTTTCTTGTACCAGGCTCAAACCCAGGGTCTTGAGCCTGCCAGGCTGTGCAGCACTCCCACCCCACACTGTCCTCTCAGTGTCCGTTCCTTTTTCCCTGTGGTTGCAGGATAGTGAGCTGTGTTTCTTGGGGACGGACGCGCACAGGAAGAAGAGGAAGCACTCCCCCGATGACTACCACTATGGAGGTAAGGCTGGGAGGGCAGCAGGCGGGAGGAATGCATCGCTGGCTCTTGGAGTCGGGGTAGGGGAAAGGGATCCAGATGTTGCTGACTCAGTGGCCTATTTAACAGGACAGTGGTTCTTGTTCTGAGTGCCGATAAACCAGTGTGAAGGAGGAGAGGTGGAGGGCTGGTATTGTGGAGGCTTCAGCATAGAAGAACAGTCTTCATTTGTGATACACAGGTACCAGGTTCCTTCTCCCCCCAATCATCCACTTATCTTGTGCCATTGTTACCTAGCATCCCTTTGCCAATGTAGCCCTGTGCCCTCCGACCTGCATTTGTGGGTCGTTTCTCAGGACAGAGCCACTCACAAAGCCAGTGTTCCTAGCTGCACTCTGCTGACACTGGTGAGACTAACCTTGTACCGGAATGAGTCTGTTCTGGACACAGAAACCAATAATCCTCTGTCTGCAACCTAATCTAAAGCATAACTTCCCTAACCCACAGCTGTAGTCTGTTTTTCTGGGTGCTCTCTGGTTGCTTGTGAGGACTCAGTGAAGAGAAACTACTTTAGTGGCAAGAGTGGTCTCCAGGGGCTGAGGCAGAATCCGCCAAACCAGGTAGCACACGGGCGCCGGCTCTGAGGGTTAGGAACCAAGGCCTCCCCTCGCTCGGCTTCTTTCTCGCATTAGCTGGGTGTCTCTGGTGAGGGAGGACACTTGGTAGAAACTGCTCCTGTTTTACTGACACGCACTTCTCCTGATTATTTCCAGACATTTCTTCTCTGGAATCGGCACAAAAGAAAAAGAAAAGGCCCAGTCCGCAGGCTGCTGACACAGCTATGGACCTGTTGAAAGCGATCACTTCCCCGTTGGCAGCAGGCGCCAAGGCCCCCAGAAAGGCTGGGGAAAAGTCCTCTGGCTCCTCCAGCCACGCAAGCCACATGAGCCACTCGGAGAGTAAGCGGGAGCACCATAGGAAGAAGGGCAGTGCCAGCAGTGGGGAGCCACCCCTGGAGGACGGCAGCACCCACAAGTCAAAGAAAATGAAGCCACTCTATGTGAACACAGAGACCCTGACCCTGCGTGAGCCTGATGGTTTGAAGATGAAGCTGATTCTCTCACCAAAGGAGAAGGGAAGCAGCTCCGTTGAGGAGGAGTCTTTTCAGTATCCTTCTCAACAAGCAGCTGTGAAAAAGTCCTCCAAGAAGTCGGCTCGGGATGAGCAAGGGGCTGTTCTTCTAGGGCACGAGTTACAGAGCTTTCTGAAAACAGCCCGGAAGAAGCACAAATCGTCCTCAGACCCACACTCGTCACCTGGCCCTGAAGGCTGTGGATCTGATGCCACCCCGTTCCCAGAACCCCACAGCACTAACCTCGATGTTTCAGGGCTCGAGCCGATCCTGGTGGAGTCGGACTCATCCTCTGGTGGAGAGCTGGAGGCAGGTGAGCTGGTGATAGATGATTCTTACCGGGAAATCAAGAAGAAAAAGAAGTCAAAGAAGAGCAAAAAGAAGAAGGACAAGGAGAAGCATAAAGAGAAGAGGCACTCCAAGTCCAGGAGAAGCTCGGGACTGCCTGCTGCTGCTGTGGGTGACGTTGCCATAACGCCCGGCCCCCCTCCCAGTGTCCCCTGCACTGGGGCTGCTGCTGCGCCTGCCCCAACAACTCTCAGTCTTCCAACAGAGGGGCATGGAGAGAGAAAGAAGAAAAAGGAAGAGAGGGACAGAGAGAGAGAGAGGGGAGAAAAGGTAAAATGTTTTTTGAAGGGGGGGCAAGGTTGGTCAGAGATAAAACTGGTCCTGCAGAAGAGGGCACTTTGGGGATTTCTCAGGGCTGCTGGAATGAGGGGGAGCATTGCAGGGGCCACGTCTGTGTGGTCCAGAAACAAGAGCAATCTTTATCATTTAAGGCTTTCTTAATGGTAACTCCTTCACCATGCCAGTCATAAGCTGAGGAAACCAGCTGCTTAGAATTGACAGAAGGAGCAGATCCCAGTTTATTTCCCTCAGCAGTGCTGTGCTGCCTGCCAGGGCAGGTGGGAAACGTGAAGAGGTGTCTTTTGAATTCATTTTGGAAAAATAAGTCTTCAGAGTCAGTGGTATAATGACTAGTCAGGCCAACAGAGGAAGCCAGCGGCTTGCCAGGCATTTGTGCTGGGGTCAGATGCCTTCTTTTGGTGGTAAGCGCCCGTTGCTGCAGGGCTGTCTGCTGTAGCTGGCTCTGGGAGGACTACCTTCTGGCCTCGGGGAGCCCTGCACCCTGGAGAGGGGAGTGAAGAAACTGTCACTTGGTTTTGATTTCTTTCCTTGCAGCTGAGGTTTCTAGCAGTTGTGTTTTGGGGTCTGATGGCTGTGTCATCAAAGTTTTCCTGTTAAAAATACCAGTAGACATTGTGTCCCTGTTACCAAAGTGGTAGCTTACTTTATAGACATTTATAAATGCTATCATTTAAAAGCAAGGAAATCTTATTCTGAGATAAATTACCAAGTAAAATGAAGTCTTGTAAATACAAAAGAGTAAAAAGAAAAAATTGAGTTTTGCCACCTGAAAACAACCATTCTCTTCCTTTGTTCATATTTTTGAAAAATGAAACACCAGTAAAATCTGAAGAAAAGCTAAGAAGGAGGTAATCAGATATATTATGAATTTGGAAATGGAATTTACTTCTGTCGGTGAGGTGCAAGTTAATCTTCCCTGCACAGAGCACCTTGGATGGTCAGGGTAGGGTAGATGCTGGGGACTGAACTCAGGACCTCTGTGCTGAGCTATTTTACTTTTTATTCTGAGATAGGCTTTTGCTGTGTTGCCCTTGCTAGGTTGAACTTGCAGGATCTTGCTGCCTCTGCCTCCCAGAGTCCTGGGATTGCAGGCCCTTGCCTTCACACCTGGCACAGGTACCTTTTGGTAACGGGGCAGGAGGGTCTCAGTGGTGTGGCTGTGGACCTGTATGGGTTTCAAGACAAGGCCTGAGCCGAGAGGAGAAAGGTGCTCGGTGGAGGTGAGGAACTGTTTGAGAAATAGCATAGAAAAGTAGCAGCTGCACCCTTGTTCCCAGTTGCCTGGTAAATGGTCCTACTTTTTAGGTGAATATAAATATGAGGGTCCAGACCTTGGCTACGCATGTGTAATGATCAGGACTCACCCCTAGACCTGCTGTTTTGGCTTTACCTCAAGTCAGTCTGCTTTCTGTGTCCTGTGGGCATTGGCTGCCTCCCTGCACAGCCTCACTTCCGTTGTTTTGCACATTGGTACCTGTAAGGCCCAGAACTCAGTGAAACGGTTGGAGCCAGGGTTGAAAGCTGGGTGTGCCCACTCCCCTGTTCATATCCTGAAGCTGTGCCTTCCAGACCTGGTTTGACGCTGCCTGTGCTGGACCCCAAGCCCTGTCGGAGTTAGCTTCTAAACCCCCATGGTACCTTGCTGCCTCTCCTGTTGCACATTTTCTTTCTCATAGTGCAACTATCTTTGTGTATACACCACTGCCCGTCAAAGGCCTCAATGGTAGTGACTGTACGGGTCACCGTAATGTGTCCTCAGCTCCTCAGAGTCCTGGGTGACCACTTTGTAAGTGTATGTCAAATGAATGAATGTGAGGATAAAAACATCCTATTGAGAAGTTAGGTTGGGAACAGACTGTAAAGAGTCTTAAACACCAGAATGAAGCCCTGGCTGTGTGCACTTTGTGGTTTATGAACATACTTTGGATTTCAGACAAAGCATAACTTAAAATGACAGAGCTATACAAGTGGGTTAGAGTTGTGACAGAACACACAGGAGGTCATGATGGCTCAGGTCAGCAGTAAAAGCCCGAGAATGAAAGTGGAGAGGCAGATCCCAAAGAGATTTGAGGGAAAAGTGAGCAGGATTTGGCATGCTAGGTACATGAGTGAGTCCAGCGGATACCCCAAACCCCTACAGATAGCCATCTCCTGGAGGTCAGGAGTTGCTTGTCCTCATACCCCGTGGGTATATCACTGCTAGGATTTTTAGTTTTATCATGAAAACCTTAATATAAATTAATGATTGTGACTGTCCAAAAATCTGAAATAGTCTTAGTCTAAGTGTAATAATTTATCAAATGGATATTTGTAGCATAATTACCACATTTTTTTGCCACATCCAGCACAGCTGTCCAATTTCCCAGGGGGAGGATGGCAGAGGACAAAGAAATGGAGACAAGAGTTAGGATGCAGAGAGCTGGGGTCAGGTGGAGCCCTCTCTGCTGATGGGAGAAAAGGAAGCACCCAACAATGGCAGCACATCTATTTACACACTCAGGAGGTTGAAGTAGTTGAAACCCCTCTGCCTAACAACTTGTTTGCCTGGCTCGCCTCAGGCACCCTGCCTTCTTGGAGCTGGGATAGCTTGTTCACATGGCTGGCCTTGGGCACTCCATGTTCTCAAGGCTGGCCTTGCCTTCACCCCGCCCTGTGATTGATCTCCAGCTTCAGCCACTCCCATGCTTTATACCTGACCTGCACATAACAATTTCATATGAAGCCTTGAAAAGCTGTCCTTTCATGGATTTTGCTTTAGTGTGAAGAGCTCTAAAAGTCAGGCACAGAGCTGCCAGAGAGAGAAAGGAATTCTAAGGCAAAATATTCCCTCAGGCCCCTGTAAGCAGAGAGGAAATGCTGAAGGCCCTGAAGAGCCCCTCAACTTTAGTGTAGGAGGAGAGCTAGATCTTAGGAGAGGATAATAACTTAAGGCACACGCATCAGGAGCAGCTAAGTATTTGGCGTGGGCCACAGAGCCCAACCTCTTCATCCAGGTCCTGGCTCATGTCACTAGACAGGGTCTGTGGCATCTCTGTCTGACTCTGAGCTGAGGGTGAGAGCAGACTTCCCTCCTAGGGCTACTGAGGATGAACTAAGGTGCTCAGGCCGCAGCATGCCAACGTGCTCTGGGCGGGGTGCCGTGTCGGCTCCCCAGGGTTCATGGATATGGAAAGGTTGCGGGAAACCACTGACTGACACGTGTCAGCTACCTTGTGAGCCGCTGCCTCAGTGTGGTTCCCACTCTCGGCATCCCCGGTTGTGCTCCTTTCAGCAGTGCCATACCCTTACAAAGCTGAGTTTCTGGTGACTGCTCCTATAAAAGCCAGACCAAGTACCGCATGAAAACCCATGAAGGCACCAAGAACCGGGCTGGTTCAGAAACTGTATAGTGCTGTGCAGGAGTGCAGTGTCATCTCTCTGGGAAGCTCCAGAGAGCGTGGAGATATGAGGCCTGGAATTCAGCAGAACAGTTAGAACTAGGATTAAAAGTTGAGTGTCCACGTGCAATACTTGAAATACGTCATTGGTTAAGAGGAGATTGAGGCCGGATGTGGTGGTGCACACCTATAATCCCAGCACTCGGGAGGCTGAGGCGGGAGGATTATTGTGAGTTCAAGACCAGCCTGAGCTACAAAGTGAGCTCAAGGCCAGCCTGAACTGCATAGCAAGACCCTGTCTCAAAAAGACCGGAAAAAAAAAAAAAAAGAGATTGAGCCCCCAGCAGATGCTGTAGGACACCGGTGCTGGGAGCCGAGGGGAGGGCGGTTGTGTTGCAGGAGAAATACGGAGGCGTGGGAAGGGCAGATCCAGTTGTCGCCTGTCCCCTGCATCAGATGTCAGTGAGGCCTGGGGGGGTGGCACATGGCAGGAGCTCCAGCTTTGGGGTGTGAGGGTACGGAGAAGGGATATGGGATTCCTCCTAGAAAGGAGGTGGCTCCCTGGTGAGTTTTGTTTACAGGCTGGATTTTTGTTTTTGGTCTCCTTGTTTTGTTACTAGGTTTGCATGTTTTGAGTCCTGCTTTCTAAGGGAGGTAGAGAAATCATGTGGCAGTGTCTGTGCTGACCTCTGACTAAAGATCATCACCTTGGGGTGGGTGCTGTTTGTCACACTGCAGCATAGCAACATTTGGTCTTGCTAAGTCAGAACTCATTGCACACTGCAGATCTGTGCCCTCCTGTGGCAGGGCCAGGCGGTGAAGTGCCTGGCAGCAGCAGGCTTTATCACGCACCTACTAATAAGCTGACTGAAAGTTGACATACAGCCGTGTTACGTGGGCTCTCCCTCAGGTAAAACAGGCTGAGTGGCAGCCACGGATGGTGAGACTCAGTAGCCACCTGAGTGCCTGCTCTGTGCTGCGTTCCTGGCTTGGTTGGTAGCTATCCATAGCCCAGTGTGATGGAGGAAAAAGCCGAGAAGAGGCAGAGCCAGAATTTCAGTACAGGTTTCCTTAACCCAGGTCTGACCTCTCCATAATCACATGCCACGTGATTATCTAGTGTCATAATACATCTTGACAAAGATAAAAACATCCTATGTCAAAGAAAATCAGTCAGGTTGTTAGGGTCTCAGGGTCTGAGATCCATACTATTGAGAAGTGGGCCAGGTATGGTAGTGCATGCCTGTAACCCCAGCATTCAGGAAGCTGAGGCAGGAGGATCACCGTGAGTTCAAGGCCTGCCTGAACTGCATAGCGAGAGCCTGTTTAAAAAAAAAAAATTAAAGTGGGAGGTTTAAAGTGGAGAAGTAAGTGATGGGAAGCTTGGCTTCAGGTGCAGGGTGCGTGGGTTCTGCCCTAAACCTGCCGCTTCCTGGCCTGTTCTCTTGAGATGCTTCCTTATTTCTGTTTGCTTGCAGTACAATGGGGCTGTTTCGGTTACACTCCTGATACCTGTAATGTGCTTAGCTCAGGGCACACTCAGCAGATGTTGGTTCCATTAGAATTGCTGCTGCTTGTTCTAAGAACCCTAAA